ATCTCAAGTTAAAGGCACGACATCCACAGTTTTAGCGTGAGTGTAATTGAAATGTCAAATCTGCAGACGGACGCACTGGGCATCAGCTCACCGTGACTTGCTACAGGCCCCAAACAACGTGAGAAACACTGGAATAAACGTCAAGCCGTGGAACAGTCCAAACACAATGACTAGAAACACGATTTTGAAAAATGTCCGGAATATGTAACTCCCAGACACGCTCAACACCACCACACCTAAGATAGTGGACAGTGCTCCCTGCAGTACTGGGTAACCCAAAATCGCCAAAGCCTCAATAGCTTTCTCATTGGCGTCACTTTTGGGACTCGAAACAAAAGAGTAGCAAATGTGCGCCGAGAAATCTACCGAGAAACCGATGCACATGACCAGATTGATCATGGAGATGGAATCCAGATTGACGCCCCAGAGGGACATGAATCCCGTCACGCCGGTGATGACTGAAACAATTGCAAACACTACACAAAGTGAGCAGAGAGGATCGGGTATGAGTACGAGAGAGATTGCAAGCATTACGATCACAGCGGTGAGCATGGTTTGGATGGTGTTATTTAAAATGACAGTGTACTGGTCAAAGTAGATGAAAGAAGGGTGGTACACCAGGAGCTCCACTGAACATTCCTCTGCAGTTTTCCTGAGCTCCACCATCATATCTGCCATCGGTACGTTGTTTTTTGTCTGAAGGAAAAAGCGAGATGCCTGAATCTTACCGTCTGGAGTCCATTGGATGTCTTGTGCTAAGAATGGGTCAAAATTTAAGAAAGGTTTCAGGTTGTTTAGGAATTCCTCCTGGGAGCTTATGGGCTTATTATTGGCTTCTGCATAGTTTTCAAAGAAAATGAACCAAGCCATTGTGTTATTGACAAATTTCAGTGATTCAAAACTTGAAATACAAGAATTTAATTGCTTCCGTTGGTCTTTGTCCCAGTAGGGGAATTGCTGCTCTATTGCCACCATTGCACTGAAGCTATATTCATTGAAGTGCTCCTCTTCATGGTTGTAGTAATTGATAATGTAAGAATCATCCAAAGCCAGGTTCTTAGTATCAAGTCCTTCTTTTAAGATTACACAGCCATAGATACTAGCAGCTAAATAACCTGCATAAAGGACAAACACAAAGACTTTTGTCACTTTGTGGGTCAGAAATGGACCGTAGAACTTCTCAAAAAAAGAACTTATGGGCTCTGTTTCCTCTTTTTCAGTATCTTTGTTGTACCGACCCCCAGTACAGCACAGCCAGAAGGCTTTTGATTTCCCTGGTGCATCACTTGGGACTTCGATGCAGGTGATCCAGTGCTTGTTCTCTGCTTCTCTCTGCCCATTTAAAGCCATGCATGCACCCAGGAAAGTCAGGCTGTAGAAGTAACAGAAGCAAAGACAAATTCCAGCATAGAGGCAGAAGGACTGGACTGAGCCAAAGGGTGTGATGCAGCCCAGGAAGAGAGCCAGCACATCGGTGAGGGTGGTAATGGTAATGGAGATGGCAGCATCTTTGTAGGTCTCACCCAGCCGTTTTGGCACGCTGTCCAGAACACGAGTCTTTTGCCAGCAGGAGATCATGATGAACATATCATCGATCCCAATACCTTTAGTGATAAAAGTCAGAGTGGGGAATATTTTTAAAATGCAAAATAAGACTTCAGGCTTAGAGTACTGGTGTGTGTTTGTGTGAGTGTCTACAAGGCTAGGGTTAGGGGAGATAGAGACCACTAATGACAGCTGTAATGGTAGTTTCTTAGAAAACATTGCTGAAATCAATCAACTGTAAGTGTTATTTTAAGAATGCAGGTCTTGTTGACAATCGCTGCTGTGAAAATCTTGCTAAAGCTTTTTCTGGCATAACATTTTTTACAAACTGCTGCCTTAACTGAACACTTTGACCTGAATGTTTAACAGAGCCTCACCTAGAATCATGAAGGGACAGGAGGCAGCTGTCATTACAAAAGGCTGGCCCACCAACAAGAGCAAACCAAAACCACTCACGACCGCTAGACTTGTAGAGAGAACGCCGCAGAACCCCACCCACACCTTCGTCCTCACATTATCCAACCTGAAAAAACAAACTCATATTTTATTTTATCTTTAAAGTAATTTGTCAAATATACATTCAATGACAGGCTTGGCTGTTATGTTTTTCTGACCTCCAGCAAGTTATGATGGAAAATGTGATGGCAATAGAGTAGGTGATGGAAAATAAAGAGATGACAGAATCTGGAGATTTCTCAAATTCCCACTGCATTGACATTGAGGTGGAGTATGATACCTAGAAGATTGGAAAAAGAATGAGCAGGAACAATCTCACCAAGTGGGAGGATAATAACTTAAACACAAAATGTGAGTTCTTACCTGGAGGGAAGGTGAGGAGCTATTTGACACCAAACTAATGAAGCTTTCCAACCAAAGGTCATTTTTTGTTTTGTTGCCCTCTTTTAAATAGTAATAGAGTTGTATAGCTTTAGCGCTTTCAACAACTGAAGTGTCTCCTTGAGTCACACCCCCCAGACTTGTATACAACGGCAAATTTGTCTTACCATTGTGATACCACGGGAATGTCAGTGTGACAGCGTTTATATTTTCGGCATTGTATTGAATGATATCTAGAATGATGTTTGAAATGCAGTTTTTCATCACTTTAGCACAGATGCCCTCATATTTAAATGATTCCTTGTCAAATTCTACCAACATGCTCTTGATTTTAGAGTCCAACATGAGGATTTCTTCAAGCATTTTAACAGTCAGAATATTAGTCTCGCTTGTAGCTATGAGAGTGGCATAGTTTCCATCTGTGGTCTGCCGCAAACTTGAAAACATGGAATCATCTTCTGGAAACATTTCACTGAAGTACTTCCTCTCTGTCTTGGCCGGTCCATTAAAAGGTGTAAACTCCTCTTCAATATTGTTGGAGATTCTGTCCTGAGTAAAATAAAACCCGCTTCCCAGAGCTGCAGAGACAATAAGGGGGGCAATGAGGAACCACCAGGGATTGGATCCAACAGATTTACCCATCTTCTTAAAGAAGCTCTGAAGGGGCTTTTCTATGCAATCCATGCGACATCTGGCCATAGCTGCAAAACCTGGCTCCTTTGACAGGATGATAGAAGCTCAAAAATATGTTTTGTGGATATAAATCGGTTGCTCCTTTGTTTTCAGAAATGTTCAAACTATCGTCACAGGCTGCTGTCAGAAGCATTTACTGTGCCGCACATTCCTGTTCGGCTCCATGTTCTTTGTTGCAGTTTCTTTTCAGCAGATGTGGTTTGAGGAAAGGCTCACTCAGTGAGCTTGTTCAGGAAGAGTCGCTTTCATACGGTTCATTGGTTCTATCTCACTCTTTGCTAGAGTTTCTTGTTGCTTAATCCTGTCGTATCACGAAAAAAAATCATCTTTGGAATCTGTAAAAAAAGCAAAACACTTCAAAAAAAAAAAAAAACGGAGAAGAGCAAATTTCAACTAAAAAGATTTCCCAGAGTGTTGATTAAAAAGAAGATGCACTAACAGCAGACCAAAAAAACAGATGAGCTCTCCTGAGCGCTCAACACCACCACACCTCCTGAGCACTCATTTATATAGAGTGGGGAACTGCTGCCTCCTCCTTTTGGTTATACTATAACCATCTTGGCATCATTTTTTATTTCAATTTCATGACACTATTACAATCCATTTGTAACTTTCTGAATCCAATATTTCTAAATACATATTTACAGCATTTCTTTTTAAGTGCTCAAAACCACACATAAGCTAAATATGTTGGTAATAATATGTAGATCACAATGACCTCACTGAGTACTTGACGGTTTCCAGTATGTTAGTACAAAGTTCAGTGTGGTTATCAGTGCCAATGACAGGTTATGGACAATGAGGATATAAACGGATGGGAAAAAGACGCTCTTTCTCTTGTAATCTTATCAGTCAGATGACACACCTCATATAATTAACCCAGCAATGCAAATGTATCATACTCGATGCATGAGTTTTTCAGACTACTTTTAGTTTACCAGCACAGCTTAAAACAGTGTGATTTCTCTCCCCTCAAAACGCCTAAATAATTTGCACAAAAGCAAATATGATACAAATCCAAATTCATATATGTAAATTTATATTTAACATCTTTTTCATTTTCATTTTTCATTGGCCAGGTTCAAGAAACACCCTAGTTTTTTTTTTTTCTTCTTAAAGGCGAATTTTCTGACTATTTCACAGTTCAAGCATCACAGCGTTAACTGCGGCAAACGCAACCCGTTATTATTCCCCCACAACCCTCGGGCGATACCATGTCATGGTTCGGGTAACGTAAAGGTTACACAAAGGAGGGCCTTTTAGGATTGATGGAAGGAAGCCGATGCACAAAACAAAGACATGTTGTGCTCCATTATGTGACTCTTTATTTAGGCACTTGAAAGGTAACCCCACCTGAAGGCAGTCATTTCCTGTGGTTGTGGTTCCATGCACTAATTTCAGTTCAGCCTGAAGGGTAAGCTGGCCCATAGCAGAGCAAGAACATGTGTGTAAATACTAGAACTAACAAAATCAAACATTTAACTGTTAAGATCGGGAGAAATCCCAACAAACAGGAACAAAGATCCATTATTAAAAGCTTTTATTAATAGCTTGTAACAGAAATTAGTTTCCAATCTTTATGTTTAACTCACTTGTATTTGACACTAAATGCATTTGCCTTGATCAGCTTTTCAAATCCTGGTAGCATTTAGTTGGTTTTAGGGGATGCTCATTTATGTAAGTCATGAATAACTTGCATAGTGTAAACATCTATTTGCATTTTCTTATTATTTCTGACCAAACACCAATTAAATGAAGTAACGTAGGTGAAACTCACTCTAGAAAAACTAGATTATTGCTTCTTCTCTGCACCACCCCTGCAAAAAATCTTGAGAACCCCTCATTTCTTTATATTTTAATTCAAAGGAGTTTTAAAGTGCTCTTGAGCAATAGTTCACCGGGATTTCTGAAGGTCTTTCAAATTGTTTATTGTTTGTTAAACGATATAACACTGGTCTATGGATCATAAACCTTTAAACCTTTAAAGGTCATAAAAAAGCATAAAACTAACTTAAGTAAGCAATTTTAAATTGTTTGTCTAGGCACTTTGTTATAAGCTGCCTGTCACAAAAGCCATGGGAACATCCACAAAATGACAAAGATAGCACAATTATGACAGGCATTAAATAGTATTTTGAAAACTCATGCAAAGACACCAGATAGGACTTGAGAGATGCATCCCACACTGCTAATGAAACGGTGTGGAATAAGTTTGACAGAGAGCAGAAGAAAAGGCAGCCAATATCCAAAGAAGAGCTTTAAATGTCCTCCAAGAAGCCTGGGGAACTATTCGACTACTTAAAGAAATGACAAGAGAGCTGCTTCAGAGAGTTCAGGCTGTGTTGAATAATAAAGATCAAGGTTATTGGAAACATACAGACTCAGATTTTTCTTTATATTCTGTATTTCCTTTTTTTTAAATGATATTTTTATTGAAAGAAAAAAAAGGGACTTATTACAATAAAGTGCATTGACATTGTTTAGTCGAGAAAAAAAAAAGGAAAGGAAAAAAAATAAAATTAACTCATTGGCTTGACAATGTGTTACATAATGCAGCATGTTTAACTTATTTACAAAAACTACATTAGGTACATATTATGAAGTTGAGGGTCAACCTAACATTGTACGATACATGGGAGATACACCAAAATACACCAATTCAGGGCTGGTCTTACCTAAATTCAGGGCGGATGGGGGACACAAAACTAATCCATTTATTCCATATTTTGTAAAATTTGTCTTTCCGAATTTTTAGAAGGAATGCCAATTTTTCCATTTTAAATATTTCGAAAACCACATTAAACCAATCCTCAAGTGTTGGCGGAGTTGGATGTTGGCGGTGCACTAGCATCCCCAGGCTTCTACCTTTCTACCTATAAAACCCGAGAGCAGCCAAATGGCTGGTAGGCGTTTAGCTAAGCTTTAGCTTCAGCCAAGTGGAAGCTAAATTGTCTAGTCATTCATATGTAAATTGGGTCGTTATCTGGGAATTCTGGAGGGAGGGTAGTGGGGGTGTGCTACAACCCTGGTCTACATATCACCGTTGATGAACAGCTTTTCCCATCAAAGACTCGGTGCTGTTTCCTGCAGTATATTGCAAGTAAACCTGACAAGTTTGGGATCAAGTTTTGGGTGGCCTGCGACCTAAAATCCAAGTACATTTGCAATGTCTTCCCATATCTTGGCAAGGACCCCGGTCGTCCCACTGGGGAGAGACTTTCTGAAAATGTAGTGATGAGACTGATGGAACCATTCCTAGACAAGGGCAGAAATGTTACCACGGACAATTTTTTCACATCGCTTTCACTTGCACAAAAACTTCTTAGACGGAAAACCACCATCCTCGGCACAGTCAACAGGATTCGCAGGGAAATTCCTCAATCCACTAGACAGACAGATTGCAATGTATTCACCACTCAGGTATGTTGCAGGTCTTTTGTGGTTCTATGTTTATGTGTTTCATTGTGTGTAAAAGTGCTATGGAAATAACAATTTATCTTATTTCTTAGGTGTTTTCAACCTCTGCTGCCACGCTGACGGCGTATGCGGCCAAACGGAAGAAGACAGTCTATATTCTTAGCAGCATGCACAGCGTGGTTCAGACTGATAACACCACCAAAAGGAAGCCAAACACTGTCACCCTTTACAACAAAACAAAGTGTGGCGTGGATGTGATGGACCAGATGGTTCGGGAGTACACTGTCCGCAAAGGAACACGGCGCTGGCCAGTCGCCGTGTTTTATAACATGATTGACATGGCAGCACTGAATGCACATGTGCTGTATCAAGCATGCACCGGGACGAAGGAAAGACGGGTGGACTTCCTGGTGGCGCTTGCAACAGAGTTGGCTCGCTCTCATGTAGCTGGGAAGAAGGCAAGAAAAGAACAGTTGCTTCGGACACAACCCTCCACATCTAGCCCTGGAAAAAGAGCCATGTGTCAGGTCAAACACAACTGCAAGAACAATCATGCCACTGTGTGATGTGTTCACTGCTACAGATACCATGGCAGTGCCAGGATTGTGAGTGATTGCTGAAAATGTTGAATTGTTTGTACTCACTCACTTTTTATTATTATTTGTAAATATGTGTACAAATGGTTGGTTTTTTGTACTGTTTTTATCAATAAATCTCAGCAACAAAGGACCTACACCCATGTGTGTTGATTTCTCCCTAAGATGGCAAACTGAAACACTCCAAGTTGGTGACTTTTGGAGATTTATTTCCCTGGATGATTGAGAATGCATCAAGATGAAACACAAAAGTGCACAGCTTTTAGCAGCTCCCTCCCCCACGCCCTCAATCACACACCCCCACTCCCCTCCCTCCAGAATTCCCAGATAACGACCCAATTTACATATGAATGACTAGACAATTTAGCTTCCACTTGGCTGAAGCTAAAGCTTAGCTAAAAGCCATTTGGCTGCTCTCCGGGTTTTAAAGGTAGAAAAGGCCAAATGACTATCCGTGGGGGTCTAATTAACCACTTTCTGGTTATTGATTTTTTGCTGGCCGCTAATAACGCTTGTAAGAGTTTTGTGTCCCCTCCCGAGTCAGCAACCAAGCCCAAGTACAAATTTACAAAATTGATGTCAAATTTTATCTTAAAAACCTCACACAAAGTCTTATGGATTCCCAGCCAGTAGTTTTTTAAGTTAGGGCAGTCCCAAAAGATATGATAATGATGTGCCTCTTCTGATCCACATCTTCTCCAGCATTCTGCTGTCCCATTTTGATATTTAGTCTGATGAGGAGTTTTAAAAAATCTAATAATGTTCTTCCAACAATGGTCTCTCCAAGATAGAGAACTTGTTGAGTACCAATGAAAATTACAAATCCTCTCCCAGTTCTCGTTTGTTATACCCATCCCCGATTCCAATTCCCATTTAATCTTAACATTTTGAGTAGTATCCTTCCTTGCTTGAAGGAGCACATCATATAGTTTGGAGATTGCCTTTCTCAGGGAACTATCATATGCTAATTTAACTATCTTAAAAATTTCTGACTCGACCATATTCAGGTTTGAGATATTGCAGTGTTTATTAAAGTAATCCCTCATTTGAAGAAACCTGAAGAAATCTACTTGTCTTAAGCCGTTTCTTATTTGTAAGGACTGGAAACTCTGTAGTGTCCCTTTATGTGTGAAGGAATGGAATGTTGTTAGTCCACTCTCTATCCAAGACTGAAATCTATTATCACTTTCATTTGGTTTAAAATCTGTGTCATAAGCACACCATCTAAATACTTTTAATATTCGTTCACTACCACATATTTCAGTCACTTTATTCCATATTTTTAAAGTGTGGCTAATCCATGGTCCTTTATTTTTTAAACGGTCTGCCAATTTTTTTATCCGCAATTGAGGCTTGTAGTTGGAATTTAGGGGTTGTATTGAATTCTATGGATTTCCACTTAGCTTTCAAACTCGGGTTACACCATTGCAGCAGGGGGATGACCTGAGATGCATAATAGTAGTATTGTAAGCATGGAAGTGTTGCCCCCCCCCCTCCCCTTTGCCTTGCTTAACTGTAAAGATCTAAATTTAATTCTTGGTTTTTTCCCATGCCAAATAAAGTGCGAAATCCATTTGTCCCATTCACCAAACTGTGTGTGACTTACTTCAACAGGCAAAGTTCTAAATAAATAGAGGAGTCTTGAGAGTACATTCATTTTCACTGCTGATATCCTTGAGTTTAAATTTAAGAAAGGCACCAGATTCCACCTATCTAAATCAAATTTTATGGCCTGTGACAAGGGACCATAATTTACTTGTGATAGATTAGAAATATTCTTAGTTAGAATTATTCCCAAGTATTTAAGTGTTTCAGCTTCCCAATTTATATTATAATTATCTCGTAAAGTGTTAGATGC